AATACTTTGGGCAAAAATTATTTTTTTATAAGCCCAAACTACTTTTTGTTATTAGCCAAAATTGGGTGAAATTATTTCAAAGTTGTTTAAGTTAAAACCAGGGCTGGCTACGTAACCTCAAGGTTTAGTCAACATGACTTGACTAAAAGTGTTAAGTCAAGTTTAGTTTTTTTCATGCAATTTGACGTAATGACTTAACTTTAGTCACTGACTTAACTTTAGCCACTTGACTTAACTTTAGTCACTTGACTTAACTTTAGTCACTTGACTTAAATTTAGCCATTGACTTAACTTTAGTCACTTGACTTAAGTCTGGCATAAAGGGGTTAAAATCCTAATTAGTAATGATTGACTTGACTTAATAATAATTATTATATAAATATTAATGACTAAATAGTTTAGTCAGTTTAGCCAAATGCTCACGCTCATTTAAACTCTTTACTTCTCCATACTTCTCAATGTTATATTTACATCATTATATATTCCATTGAATATATAACAACAACTTTTATTTTTTTACAAATTAATAAAATTAATAAAAACTATAACATTTACATTCACATATATATATTAATATATATATATATATATATATATATATCGAATATCATTATCATTACCATCTCAAAATCATCATAGTGGATTTTTTTACATCATTGTTATCAGTAGCAACAGTAGTATTAGTATTAGTAGTAGCAGCAGCAATAAAAAAATTCTTATTAAAAAACTATGGCATTTTATAATGTGTAGGTATTATAATAAATAAATAATAAACTCATATTAACTAATATTAATATAAATATAAATAAACTTATTTACATAAGTTTTCATTGTTTTAGAGATGATGATATAGGTGTAAATATTGAACATCCTATTAATTTAGTTGAAGATACTACTACTACTACTACAAATATAATTAGAGGTGGACGACCTTCTTCAGATGTATGGCAATATTTTGAAAAAAATACATCTAAATCAAAAGGTCACTATACTGCAAAATGTAGATATTGCTTGAAATTTTGGAGAAGAGGAATTCCAGATAAATTAGAAGCACATCTTGCACTTAAATGTGAAAAAGTTGATAGAGAAATTTCTCAAATATATTTAAAAAAACTTGCAACTAAAAATTCAGTATCAGATGTTGAGTCTGAAGATAAAATGTCAATAAGTACAGCAACAAATTCAAGGAATTCCTCTAGCTCTAAAAAAAAAAGGAAAACCAATAATAATTTACATTCATATTATGAAAATACTAATTGCAATATTGAACAAAAACAAAAATTAGATCAGGCCTTGTTACGTGCATTTGTTGTATGTGGGATACCTTGGAATGTTGTATCTAACCCATTTTTTATGGATTTTATGAAGTTGGCTAAACCTGGATATGATCCAGCTACACGTAAAGAATTATCAGGTCAACTTCTTAATCAAGAAATTGCTAGAATTACTATTAAACTTAATAAACTTGTAAAAAGTGAAAGAAATATGACGTTGGGTAACGAAAATATATAATTTTTTATTAATTTATTTGTAAATTTCAAAATTTTTCTGTTAATATTATTTATTAATAATAGCTCTCGATGGTTGGACGACTCCATCTGGTGGAGTATTGTATAGTTTTGTAATCCTCACACAAAGCAAAGAAGAATATTTATTCAAATTAAAAAATTATAGTATAGTGTCACAAACAGCTGATTTTTTGACTTCTGAAATCAAATCAATTTTAGAAGAAATTGGTCCTAACAATTTCTGTGGTTTGGTGACTGATCATGCATCCAATATCAGAGGTGCAAGAAAAAATATCTGCAATGCATTTCCACATATTTTCAACATTAGGTGCATTGCACATACAATTAATTAACTTGATTGCTACTGATATGGTGAAAAATGAATTTGTGGCTGAAATAATTTCAAAAGTTGGAAAATTGGTGAGTTTTTTTAAAAAATCCCACATTGGAAATGCATTGCTCCATGAAGGTCTGAAATCAATGAATATATCTGGTGGCTTTCTTGTGTCATATTCCAAGATACGCTGGGGGTCATTGTTTGATACAACAAATTCTGTCTTAATATCCCAACCAGTTTTTGCAAAGGTATTTTATCTTATTTTATCTTATCTTATTTTATTTACTTAATTTATAAACAATAACTCATAATTATTATTAAAAAAAGATTCTTGAGGATTTTTTTATGATGTACGAATTATTTCACAAATTTTTAAACCAATCAAACAAATCATTCATTGCCTTGAACGAA